AAAAGAAACAGCACAACATCACAAGTTTGCATAAAAATGGCTCCCACCAATCTGGCCAACATGGTGAAATCCTGTCTCTACTGAAAGTCCTAAAATTAGCTGGGCATGGTGGCTGGTGCCTGTAATCCCAGCTACTCAGGAGGCTGAGGCAGGAGAATTGCTTGAGCTCGGGAAGCGGAGGTTGCAGTGAGCCAAGATTACACCACTGCACTCCAAGCCTGGGTGATAAGAGCGAGACTCCATCTCAAAAAAAAAAAAAAAAAAAAAAAAAGGCTCCCAAACATTTCGAGTGTTTCTATTATCACACTAGGTTGTCCAACCTCTGAATTTCTGGGGAGTGGCCAGGAGTGATGCTGCAGCAAATTCCCAGTTTTTCAAAAATGTTTACATTGTATTTGTGCTGTAAGAATGTTACAGTTTTCTATTGCTTGTATCTACAGACATTGTAGTAGTATTGCCATTAACAGTAGTATCTACAGACATTGTAGTAGTATTGCCATTAACTGCCACTGCAGTTTTGACCTTATATAAAAATAAGAATTGAGAGTTGGTTATACAAGCTTTCCCTATAAGCAACAGTCCATTAGAAGCTTCATTATAAGCAAAGGGTATGTGTTAGGGTTGTGTACCCAGCTTTGATGCATAGCAGGACTGAAAGGTAGTGTGTGTACTACCACAGTCAGATCAGGAAGGCTGCATGATGAGCCACAGTCATTCTCCACTGATATCTTTCAGAGATATTCAAAATGGATGATATTCACACAAGCAGGCACACAGTCATAGGAGAACTCAGATTCAAACTTCGGTGAAACCTGGTGTTTTCCAGCCAAGAAAGCAAGGCAATAACTTACAATCATGACAACTATTATTATCTCCACCAGCCATGGTCTGTTAGTAGTATTGCACAGATATAACTGATGTGTGTGATTCCCCAGATAGCTTATTGCAATTTGACCTATTCTTCCTGCTCAAAAAATCCACTTCAGGCTGGGGGCAGTGACTCATGCCTCTTATCCCAGCACTTTGGGAGGTTGAGGCAGGTGGATTACCTGAGGTCAGGAGTTCGAGAACAACCTGGCCAACATGGCAAAACCCTGTCTCTACTAAAAATACAAAAATTAGCCTGGCATAGTGGTGCCTGCCTGTAATCCTAGCTACTAGTGGGGCTGAGGCAGGAGGATCGCTTGAACCTGCAAGGCAGAGGTTGCAATGAGCCAAAATCATGCCACTGCACTCCAGCTTGGGCAACAGAGTGAAAATCTGTCTCAAAAAAAAGCAATAAAAGCACTTCAATACAAGAAAATGAGAGACTCTGATTTATGACTCTAAATTATCACTGTGAAACATAATTCTTTTGTTAATGATGAATTCTTGTGTGAAACATCTCACAACTGATTGCCATACAGTGAAATAGAACCTGTTTACTGGGAAGGGTATAGGATTGGGATTCAGAGAGACTGTTCATATCTGGATTGTAACTCACTGTCTGTTGCTTAAGAAAGCAAGTCTATTTCCTCATCTGTGGAGTGCATAAAATAACCCCTTTGTCTCAGGCTTACTGAGAGAATTAAATGAGATTTGAAACAGTATGCTGTAAATTGCCAGACAAGTGTCAATCATTGCCATTGTCTCCCACAACTGCCAGTTACTTGCATGGGCCACCATGTCTGTAGCATAGCCCCATCAAGTATCTGAATTTTTCCCACTATAAGCCCACAGAAGAGCCTCCTCAGTGATGCAATGCATATGTTATTTTCTTGAGGTTAAAAATAATTTCTCTAAATTGAGGTGAGTTGATACACTTTTCCAACCCAAATATCAGGTCTACTTCAGCAGCTGATAAAGGAAAGACATTATCCTTGCTCTTGTTTCTCTCTGCTCCTGCAGAGTGAAACAATGGCTAAAAACCAAGATTCTCTGAGACTATTTCCTTTCTTAGCATTATCCTGGTGTCCTGGGATCTGACGTTAACCATTAGAAATTTCTTAAGCAGCAGCAGACTGGGAAAAGCAACTGCCAATACCTACGGAATACATTAAAACTCTTAAGAAAAGAAAAGAAAAGAAAAAGTCACAAAGATAGATGAATATACTGAGTTGACTCATACTCTTCAGTATAGAGTAGTCATCTTGATGGTGACATTCATCCTGAGTATGCTAAACAGGTGACCTATTCTATCAGCAATGGCATCCAGAGCCATTAAAACATAATGTATATCATTATGTCATATATTAGGGGAAAGTTGACTAAGTTTCCAAGATCCCAAGGGTTTTAATTAATAGGAAAATTTGATTCAATAGTAGTCATTTAAAAAATGGAAGGAAAACAAGGGGAGGGAGTGATAAGAGTGGGAAGCATTAGACAGAAAGCTTGTAGAAAATGCCCTGAAGGCTTGAAGTTGGCACTGTTATAAGTCAGGGCCAGATTAGCTAGGGGACTGGAACAGACAGCCACAGAGAAAGAGGCTGGGAGCTACCAACACAACCATTCTAATAATGTTCTTCTCTTATCAAGCAAACTCCACTTCCTTTCTTTATTGTCTACTGTGTTTTTTGTTTTGTTTTGTTTTTTTTTGAGACAGAGTTTTGCTTTTCTTGCCCAGAGTGGAGTGCAATAGTGAGGTCTCGGCTCGCCGCAACCTCTGCCTCCTGGGTTCAAGCGATCTCCTGCCTCAGCCTCCTGAGTAGGTGGAATTACAGGCATATGCCACCACACCTGGCTAATTTTGTATTTTTGGTAGAGATGGGGTTTCTCCATGTTGGTCAGGCTGATCTCGAACTCCTGACCTCATGCACCCACCTCGGCCTCCCAAAGTGCTGGGATTACAGGGGTGAGCCACCACCCGGCCTCTGTTGTCTACTTTCTAAGTGCTCACGAGTGGCTCCATTGCCCTTGCAGAAATGAGAGGCTCAACTATTCCTGTTTGGGTAGAAATGATGAGAAAAATATCTCAGGATATTTCTTACTCTCCTCTCTCTACCCCTATGAACATCTCCCACCCCCAGGGCCCCAGTTCTGCTTTTCTTCGTTTAAAAAAACTTCAGACCAGGTTGGGTGCAGTGGCTAACACCTGTAATCCCAACACTTTGAGAGGTTCAGGTAGGCAGGACCCTTGGGCCCAGGAGTTGGAGACCAGCCTGGGCAACATGGCAAAACCTTGTCTCTACAAAAAAGACAAAAAATTAACTGGGCATGGTGGTGTGCATCTGCAGTCTCAGGTACTCAGGAGGCTGAGGTGGGAGGATCAACTGATCTCTTGAGGTCAAGGCTGCAATGAGCTGTGATCACACCACTGCACTAGTTTCGGTGATAAAGTGAAACCCTGTCTCAAAAATAAAAAAAAAAAAAACAACAAAAACCAAAAACCAAAAACCAAAAACTTCAAATCATCCCTCTTCTGTGAAGCCCTCCTTGACGTCTCCAGCACATACTAATTTTTCTTTTCCTTAATACCTACAACTTGTACATAACACAGTAAATGGACACAGTAGACATATTTCTGTCTCATGTGTGCCAACCTTTGCTTTCCAAATAGATTATAAACACCTTGAGGATGGGAGCCACATTTTACACTTCTTGAAATCACCTGCCAAATGCTGTGATTTGGTGATTAGCCCGACTGGGACCAACTTAGGCCCTAGAGTATCTCCATAGTCTGGGAGAATGTAAACAGCTTTGGAGGTACTAAAAATGCAAAAATGCAAAGCAGAGTATGAGTTTCTCAATGTGATAGCATCAAATCAGCCTTGCAAATTTGACCTACACAAACCTTTTCTCTGATTCTAGTAGCCAGCCTTATTCCTGAACATCAAGTCCCTAACAGCCTGTCCCTAGGTCTCTTTTCAGTGACCTTGTTGATATTCCATTTCCTCTAGATTGTGCTCTTTCTCTTGCTAATCCTTAAAAAGAAAAAACCAAATCAGCTTTGTGCAGTGGCAGTATCATAGCCCATGAGGTTTACCCGAGGCACGATTATTGCTAATTGAAAACTTTTCCCAATACCCCACCATGACAGCTTGAAATATAGCGGGCATTGGCAATTTTTGGCAGTCTCTACAGGGACTGAATTAAAACAAAAAGAAAAAATAAAATAAAAATCCAAATCTTGTCTCTGAACCTCGAGCTCTGAGGTACAGTCCCTACCATCCACTATCCTGAGCAGCCCAGTTGGATTTCATGACTGCCCAGACCTCTGTAGTGTGTGGGTTGTGCTCCACCCAGATGCAGTTAATCTCACACCCTCCCTGGCACTGGTTGGCCAGTCTGCTTCTTTGTTCTGACTCTTTCTGCCAAGATCTTCTGGAAATGCCTGCCCTGCTCCTGGGCTTCTGGCTGGTCTCGGCATCCTTTCCATTTTGCCATCAACTGAGCCATCATTCTGAGATTTAAGAAAAAATTCCCCTCAATATTAAAGACACAACAGACAAATACAAGTGCAAATACTCATACTCACATGTTCCTTTATCACTGAGAAAATTTCTACTACCTTCCTAAATTTATATTCTCCCTTTTCAGGCATTTAGCATCATCTCTAGGTCTTCCAATGTTATGCTTGGAATTTTCTTTTCTTTTGAGAAAAGATTGATGTATTTTTTTTTCCTTTTTAAGTTTCAACCCCCAAAAATATTCCAGGAAAAGATAGGGGGAGGCTGTGCTGGTTCTTCTTCAACAGGCTTTTGCTGCCAAGGAGGATAATGCACTTGAGCCACATCCAGGCTACCCCCAGCCTGCTTCTCCCCTCCTTTGCTCAGGGGCGAGACAGTAGGGGTGGCGGGGGCAGCTGGGAGGGAGGGACCAGGGCAGTGATGCTTTGGGATAAGAAGTTGAGCTGGGGGAAGGGGAAGGAGCTGCCCCTGTGCAGTTACCATTGCTCAGTGACAGAGCCTTAAAGCTTGGCAAGGGCTGAAGGTACCACACGGGTGTGGGTGAGGCAGGCTAAATGGGATGACTGCAGCCAAGGAGCTGGGGGAGGGCAGGGCGTGGGGCTGGCCCTCTCCCCTCTAACTGATGATCTGCCCAGGTTGTCTGTAGCCTGTCATTTCGGCCTGGGAGGCCCCTCCGTTGCTGCCCATCTGAAGGCCAATGACATGCTTTCCCTCCTGCAGCTGGCTCTCTGTGAATTCTCTCTTATGCTCCTGCACTTTCTTCATCAGCCAGCTGGGATCTCCACAGTACTGTCCATCATTCTTGGTCACCGCCAAGCTGCCCAAAGCCTTCAGGGTCCTCTGCACTGCTGCCATGTCTTTGCCTTCAAAGAGGTCAACAGTCTGGAACATGTTAGTCTTGGTGACCCCATAGTTCTCAGCTGCCTTCAGGAACTCAGCCACCTGCTCCATCTGCTTGGAGACTCCAGAGGGCAGGTTCTCAGACACCTTCACAGACTTGAGGCCATCAGGGTACAGGCTATTCACCAGCTTGCTCTGAATCACGCCGTTCTTTAGCCAGACCTGGAAGCCCTGGCGCCCACAGTCTGGGCGGCCCACATCAGGGCCACACTGCACTATGATCCACTCCACCAGCTGCTCCTCCAGCTCCTTGTGGTACTTATTCTCGATTTTGGACTGCACTTTGCAGCTCCTGCCATAGGAAGGACCCTTGTTGGCCATGTCTGGGGAGAGAGGGCTTCCTTGGGGCTTGCAGGAAGGAGTGAAGACTTGTGCCTGGGCTTGGACAGACAGGACAGGGCTGTCTTTAAATAAAAGAATTTTCTTTGTTTTATTTTAAATAAAGGGGAATTTTCTTTGAATAAAAGTGGCCCTTAGAGGTCATTTACTCCAACCTTCTTATTTTACTCCTAGTCTCTACTACCCTACACATCTATTTGGAAGCTAATGGTGCAAGATTTTTGCTAATGATGCCCTTATCAAGAAATTCTCTTTGTCTGTTAGTAAATTATGATGATCCTAGAAGATTTTATAGAAAGTCCCAGCTTACATTACAAAGGATCCTCATCAGGTATGAGCAAAAAAAAAAAAAAAGAAGTCTCAACTTAGTAATCAGTTACCATCAAAATACGTTTTTCTATTATTAAGGTAAGACAATTTCCTTCTCAGCCCCAGAAGGGATGCACACACACACACACACACACACACACACACACACACACACACTCTTTCTCTCACAATGTGATCAGCCAGCTCTCTGTCTGGAACAATCAAAATACCTCCCAGCTGGAATGACAGCATCATTTTATTGACACTGAAATAAGAGGGTGATAAAGCAAGTCTCAGCAGGCATGGCAGAAGTGCACTGCTTTTATGATTTATATTTCAAAAATGATGCCATGGGACCAAAATTGCAAAGCAGAGCTTATTATGTGCTAGCAAAAATGGAGTGAAGGGCAGTCACCTCAGTTGTACCTTTTAAGCTCTAAAGGAAGCAACACCACTACCAATTTTCCCTCCTCACTCTGAGGTTGCAATAGACACTTGGATTTTCCTACAGCCATCACTTCATTGTTCTCTATGCTGTGAGTGGGCTAAGAAAATGACGTTATTTCCTGTGTGATGATCTTGCTAGAGCTTTGGAGGTACTAAGGAGAACTTCAAAGAAACGGAATCACTAGGACAGTTATCCTTCAGCCCTGGTTGGGGGCGGAGTGGGGAGAGATTGCTTCCAGGACCCCAGGATACCAAAATCTCAAGTCCCTGATATAAAATGGTGTAGTACTTGCATATAACCTATGCACATCCTTCCATACTTTAAATCATCTTTAGATTATTTATGATACTAATACAATGTAAATGCTATGTAAATATTTGTTACACTGTATTACTTTTATTATTTTTATTTTTTTTTTAGTGTTTTTGTTTTTATATTTATTTATTTATTTATTTATTTTTTGAGACGGAGTTTTGCTCTTGTTACCCAGGCTGGAGTGCAATGGCACGATCTCGGCTCACCGCAACCTCCACCTCCTGGGTTCAGGCAATTCTCCTGCCTCAGCCTCCTGAGTAGCTGGGATTACAGGCATGCGCCACCATGCCCAGCTAATTTTTTGTATTTTTAGTAGAGACGGGGTTTCACCATGTTGTCCAGGTTGGTCTCGATCTCTCGACCTTGTGATCCACCCACCTCGGCCTCCCAAAGTGCTGGGATTACAGGCTTGAGCCACCGCGCCCGGCCCTTATATTTATTTTTATTATGTTTTTAAAATATATATTTAAACATTTCTAATTAATTATTTTTATTTTTTTTTAAAGACTGGGTTTCACCATGTTTGTCAGGCTGGTCTTGAACTCCCGATCTCAGGTGATCTGCCCACCTTGGCCTCCAAAGTGCTTGGATTACAGGCATGAGCCACCACACCCGGACTTTTGAGTGTTTTTGATCCTCAGTTGGCTGAGTCTGTGGATGCAGAACCTGCGGATATAGAGGGTCAACTTTATTGTCCTCCCTAGCTCCATCTCTTTATGAGGGGCTGTTGTTGGTTCCTGCACTAGACTGAATGTCTGTTCTCCCAAACTTATATATTGAAACCTAATTCTCTACATGAATGTATTTGGAGGTGGGACTTTGGGAGGTAATGAGATGTAGCCCTCATGTATGGAATTAGCACCCTTATAAAAGAGATCTTGGAGAAGTCCTTTGACCTTTCTGCCACATGAAGACAGCCATCTATGAACCAGGAAATGCTCTCACCAGACACAAAATCTGCTGGCACCTTGGTTTTGGACTTCCCAGCCACCAGAACCGTGAGAAATATATTTCTGTGGTTTATAAGCAATTCAGTGCATGTTATTCTGTTACGGCAGCCCAAATGAACAACATGACCACACTTTCCAAACGCAGAATCCACAGGGTATGTGTGTTGCTTCTCTCTCTGCTTTGCTTGGGGAGAAAAGAACTCTCCCCTCTATAGAGAACCCCTGGGAATCCTCTCTGCCTGGAGGTTTCCAGCTGCTTGCTTTCGACTCTAACTTCTCTCACATGCAAGTTAGGAAAACAATACTGGGTAAACATTTTCTAAGATATACAACCTTAGGGCAGTGCCACTGGAAGAAAATAGACTAGAAATCAGAAAAGATGGGCTTGATTCCTGTGATCTCAGTCAGATCTTCGACGTCGAGACATCACAAACTCTCCTTCTTCAAAGTGCAGGCACCATTCGTCAGCTCACGTCATCCGAGGGCACTTAGAGTTCCTTGAGTAATACTGCCTTCTATAAACATCTCAGCTTCTGGAGACTTATTTCTGGACATTCCTAATGAGTCAGTAAAAAACCCCAAATGATCTACGTATCAATTTCTGTTTTACACTTTCAGTTTATACAATAAATGAGGAAAGGACTAAGCTCAATTTGCTGGAAGTTGACAATCCATTTTTTTTTCCTGGCAACTTTAAGACTATCCATCTTTATTTTGAAATCATTGTTGGTAAATTTTGTACCAAAGGAGAGGCTTACAGCAAGAGAGTAGAAATGAAAGTAGAAATTAGAAAGCTTATACAGTCTCAATTTCCACGACTCTAAAAACATTGATCAATCAACAACGCAGCTCATCCAGGAAAACCAAAACGCTTTGTGGTAGGCAGAATTGTAAGTTGGCCCCTAAGATTTCCTGCCCCTGCAATCTGTGAACCTTCTCCCACTTACTCAATCAAACACTAACTTGGGTTCTGCTGCGAAGGGATTTTGCAGATGTAATTAAGGTACCAAGATAGGGAGATTGTCTGGGTGGACTTGCTCTAATCACGTGAGCCCTTTAAATCTGAGTCTGGAGGTCAAAGACAGAAAAAGTCAAAGAGATTTGAAGCATGAGAAGAATTCAACAAAAGGGAGATTCTCCGTTGCTGACTTTGAAGATAAAACGAGCAGGTGGTAAGAAATGTGGCAGTTTCTAGGAACTAAAAGTGGCCCCTGGCTGACAGCCAGCCAGGAAACAGGGGCCTCAGTCCCCTAACCGCAACAAACTGAAGCTGTGACAACCAAAATGAGCTTCGACAAGGCCCTTGAGCTCCAGAAAAGAACACTGCCCAGCTGACATCTTGATTTAGTTCTGTGAGAAGATGAGAGGAATCACGCCCTTCCCAGTTTTGGGGGAAAAGCTGTAAAGTAACACCTGGGGAGTTGTTTAAAGGGGATAAATTTGTGATGATTTGGTATGCGGCATAGAACTAAAATCCATGCCTTCTGACTGGTTTTAAAGCTTCTTAGCCTAACCCTAAGACCAAAACCCAACCTCCTTCAAAGAGAAACCTGCCAACCACTGTGAACCAAATCTATCAGACAAGCCTCTTGTGACTCAAAGTGTGGCCCATGGCCCGACAGCATACATGTAACCTAAGAAATGAAGCGTCTCAGGCCCCATCTGGATCTACAGAATTAAAACCTTCATTTTAACAAATCACCTGACTTGTATGCAAATTAAAGTGTGAGAAGCACCAATTAGCATTTTAATTCAGAGCTGGAGCTCTGGAATCAGCAAAACCCATGCTCCCAACCTGGCTTTACAGTTTTACTAGCTATGTGGATTTAGACAGGTTGCTTAACCTCTCTGAACTTCTATTAATAGGTAGAGTAGAGAAGATAATAGTACTGAGTGTATACAGTTGTGGTGAGGATTAAATGGGACAATATGTAAAGTGTTTTAGCCTTATATTTTGGCCTGTCATCAGCCTGGCAAACAATAAGGGCTTAATAAATTGTTGGTTATTGTTGGATTGGGCGCTAATAGCATGAACTGAATGTAGAGGGAGCAGGTAAACCGTATCAGGTGGAAACATGTAGGATCATTGTGGCCAGCATCCTCATCTGATGAAATATGCTGTCACATGGCTCCTCAGAGACTGCAAAAGGTTGTGACCTTGGTTTTCTACCTAACACTAGGCTGGGTCAGCCATGCCATCCCAACTCCTGTAACCATCTGTGTATCCCTCACACCCTCTCCCCTATCAGCATTTAACCTCCCTGGGCTTAACCTCACTTAGCTAATGAGATCTGGCCAGAAACCACAGAGATGGTTGTCAGCAACTCGGGGCAGGTGGTATCCCTGAATACCAAGGGCAGCTCGCTCCACAGAAAGGATGAAGAGCTATCCCAGAGGCAGAACACAGCCTGTTAGCTGTTTTAACAGAAATCTAAAGTTCTTCTTATTTTTGTTGGAGAGAGTGATGGCAATGGAGACAATGCTGTTGATATCACTGAGTATAAGAACAAATGCATAAATCAACAGTGACAACTGACTAATACATAAGCGAGAGAGCATTTGTGATCAAATCTGCAGAGGCCCACTCCCCCTCCTGGTGGTTTCTCTGTTCTTGGCAAAGCCTCTCACTTGCTTTATTTCTCAGCCTGAGCCAAAGCAATCTCTGCAGTTCAATATAAATAATGAGGGTAACAGTGATAATAACAATAGCTCTCATTTATTGAGTGCTCCAATTGCTAGTCACTCTTCATATATTATTTATACTCCTTATAACAACTCTTTGAGGTAGTCATTATGATGTCCCTTTTTAGCCAAGGAAACAGAAGCCTCAGAGAGGTTAAGTGGCTTGCCCAGGTTTACACAGCACATAAGATAGTCTTGGATTCAAACCTGAGTCTGCTTGACTCCGAAACCTGTGCTCTCTTCACTTTGTCTCTATGACACAGTTGTGGTCCTTGACC